CCAAGGTTGGAGTTTTATGGTTGCGAAGGGTGTAGTAGTATGTGTGTTCCCTCTTTGCCACCACGAGCTAGTAGTCATGGTAAAAGCACAATAGCACATAACATATCACAACAATTATAGAAAACAATTGTTATAAAAGGTGGAGTTTATGGGTTTGATACCTAACGCCATCATTTTTCGAGATTTTTCAAGATTTCACCACGGTTGTACGTTCCAACTATAGTGAAAGACTTAGCGAACAAAATTTTACCACGATTATAACTTCCAATTTTGGTGATAAGTTTACTTGAGTTTATTATAAATTATGTGAAATATTTAGTTCACCAACTGCTCACTAAACGTATAACCTTTCAATATTATTTTCAAATTAATAATATGACAAATTAAGTTATATTAGAAGGAACAAGTTACACTAATAAATGTTTTTCGAGATTTCAACAATCCACTATCTGTATCTCGCTCTTTAACAGTTAGAACTTGCTTCAATACTTATAATTATTCAACTTATACTTCATTCTCTACTCGTTCATTTTGAAAAGTATATTTACTTTGTAGACATAACTAGTAGAGAAGGAAGTGGTAACTAAAGAACTTGAAGCTTTAAATCATATTCTAACTGTCAACACTACTACAAAATATATATACAACAACGCCAAGGTTATCACGGTGCTACGAAGGACCGCGATGACATCTAATACTTAACGCACGAATATTTTTCTTTTATTTACTGATTAAAATTTTGATATGATATAATCACGATTGAAAAATAAGATCATGGTTGTATAATCACCCTTTAATGGGTTCGAATTTCAGCATCCTCATATGTTTTATTTCTTTAACATTTAGTCGCACCTTTGTATTTTTATTTATTTTAATTTAAACAACCTCTGTGACATATTTATCATTTTATTTTAAATTTTTTAAATAAATGTGATACCACCATGGTTCCGTAGGTGAACTATTGTGACATATTTTTTATTTTGTTTTAAATATTTTAAATTGTAATATACTGGTGCTACTTTATGAAATTTAATTAAGCAAATAGTATATAACCACCGTTTTGGTTGTTGATCGTGGTGATATCTTTCATTCATTTTTATCACAACTAACTAAATTTTCTCTTCAGTAGTCATTCTTTGCATTGATACAATACGAAACATCATTTTAACCCTAACATTCAGTACTGAGAAGCGAAACACCATCTCAACTCTAACATTCATCGTTCATCATTTTTCATCAGTTGTTCATCAGTTTATCGTTGTTCATTTTTAACCTGTAGTTATCGCGGGGAGAAAGACAACACACTAACACCATTTTCATCGTCAAGGAGGAATACAACAACAACATTATCTAAAAATAAAAAATTGAATGTGTATGTTAGCATCGTCTACCAAATTGCTAGAATGTGTATGTTAGCATCGTCTACCAAAACTTCCCAGCAAATTGTAGACCGAACTACGGCTACTCTGATTCTTTACTTCTTCTGAGTAAAGATACGTAGGCACAAGGGCCACAATCCTTGCCGAGCACACTTCTTTCTCATTAACCATAGTTTCCTGAACTATGTTGACTCTGACTTTCTCATATCTATCGAGAATACGTAGGCCTAGGACCTTGAAGTCCTACCGAGTCTCCCTTCTCCCCCTTTACCTCTCTTTCCCCTCTAACCCTTCTCTTTATCTCTTGGAACACTCGTTAAATCAATATCTTTAAGCAAAAATCTTCACACATTGACAAATAAATGGTTCCCATCGAGTACGATGGATGTGATGGGTGCTAATACCTTTCCTTTGCATAACCGGCTACCGAACCCGTTCTTGGTCGCAAGACCATCTTATCTATTTCTTTTCTTAAGGTTTTCTCGATATTTTCCTTTCCCCTCATGGGATAAATAAAGTTCGGTGGCGACTCTTCTGTCTTTCTTTTCTCGCCTCTCTATCGTTGCATTTTTTTTAGTAGCGACAAGTAGTTCTGTATAATGGTAAAACAACATTGATTCAGAATGTTTGGTATGTGTTTGACATGAAAAATAATATGATGAGTGTAGGTAAATTAATTTAGAAAGGTTTTCATTTACCATGAAGGACAATATTTTAAAGTTGTATCATTATAATCAGAAGCTGATTATGAAGTCAGAATTTGGGAGAAATAGAAAATTCAAAGTGAATGTTAAAACTGCAGACTCTGAATGTCTTAGTGCAACAAGTGTTGTGAAGGAAAGTGAGATTTGGCACAAAATATTTGATCATTTGAACTTTAGAAGCTTAGGGCATATGAATTTGAAGAAGTTGGTACATGGAATTCATGCAATTAAGAATCCAGAAAACTCATTCAATGTGTGCATGAGAGGGAAGCAACCATGACTTCTATTTGCATCTGACATGCCTCCAAAAGCAAAACATGTTTTGGGTGTGGTGCATTCTGATGTGTGTGGACCATTTCTAGTACCTTCACTTGGATGAAATAAATACTTTGTGTCATTTGTGGATGAGTTCACAAGGATGACGTGGGTATCCCTTATAAAGTTCAAACGCGAGTTGTTTACTGAATTTAAGAAATTCAGAATTAAGGCTGAGAATCAGAATGGTCAGACTCTGAAGATTCTCATAATAGATGGTGGATGTGAGTATAAATCTACCGAGTTCAAAAATTTTTGTGAGGAGAATGGAATCGAGCATGAGGTGACTGCTCCATATTCTCAACAATATAATGGTATTGCAAAAAGAAGAAACCGAACTTTGCTTGATATGATGAGGAACATGATAAAGAAGAAGAAGATCCCTTACACAGTGTGGGGAGAAGCTGTTGCCACGACAACATATATGCTCAACAAGTGTCTAACAAAAAAGCTGAAAGAAATTGTTCCTTTATAGAAATGGACTAGAGATAAGCAAAATGTAAACCATCTGAAGGTGTTTAGTTATGTGTGTTATAAACATGATCTAAATTCTTAGAGAAGTAAGTTGGATGAAAAAAGCATAGTTATGTTACTTGTAAGGTACTACAATACATGTGCTTATAAGCTCTACTTTCATGTCACTAACAAGGTTGCATTCAATAGAGATGTCGTTGTGAAATAATCAGAATCGTGGGAGTAGAGTGAATCTCAATCCAACTCTGGTGCAGTGTTAATACATGAGTTAACTTTTGAAGTATCTTTAGAATCTGAAGGTTTTGAAGATGTGTCAGAATCAGAAGCTGATTCTGAAAGTGAGTCTGAAGATGAGACACAGTATGAAGACGACTCTGAAGCTGAAGAAGATTATGAAGGTGAATCTGATTCTGATCTAGATTATGATGGTGATTCAGACTCCGGTGGAGATCCAGACTCTTGGAATATTTTCGACTCTAAAGGTGGTAATTCTCGGGTTACACATTCTAATAATTTTCCATTAGGAAAGAAAAAAGTGAAAGTTAAAGAAGTGTGGAAAGAGTCTTTGTGATGAATTGCAAGAAAAGAAATTATTATTATTGCAAGTTTGTGTTCTTTACTAATCCCTTATCTTTATACATGATTAATAATTTTTCATATCTAATAATTGGTAATTTTATATCATAAACAAATTAATGGGAAGCAATAAAAAATATATTGCAATATACACATGTTCAAAAAAATTCAATCATTAAGACGTTTCAATATTTTTCTTCAAAATTTTACTAGTAGATTGAAATAAAAATAATATAAAATTAAAAGAAGAAATTAAATTTGAATGAAAAATGTAATATATATATATATATATATATATATATATATATATATATATATATATATATATATATATATATATATATATATATATATATATATATATATATATATATATATATATATATATATATATATATATATATATATATATATATATATATATATATATATATATATATATATATATATATATATATATATATATATATAAAGATAATAAATGTGTTTTTTTTCATTCACTAATTATTTTGCAATAGAAGTGATCTATTATTTCGATTGGATTAGAAACCGAGGGATAAAGTTTCTATTTAATTGAATTTTTATTTAAAAAAAGATATAATATTTTACCTCAGTTTTTGTCTCAACTGACGAGACTTGCAAGTATGTTTTGTCGTGCATAAGCAAATGTTTGTTATCCTTTTATTCTAGATCAAAGCTCAAGACAATGCCAACATATTCTTAGATCACACAAAATATTATTGATCCGGGTGAAACCGCCACAACAACCATTGAGAATGTAAACGCCATACAATCACAAACAGTCTGAATCACAAACATTGATAATAAAAATATTAGGAAAGAAAAAAGTGAAAGTTAAAGAAGTGTGGAAAGAGTCTTTGTGATGAATTGCAAGAAAAGAAAATAATATTAGTGCAAGTTTGTGTTCTTTATTAATCCCTTATTTTTATACATGATTAATAATTTTCCATATCTAATAATTGATAATTTTATATCATAAATAAATTAATGGGAAGCAATAAAAAATATATTCAAATAAATTCAATCATTAAGACGTTTCAATATTTTTCTTCAAAATTTTACTAGTAGATTAAAATAAAAATAATATAAAATTAAAAGAAAAAATTATACTAGGATTAAAAGAAAAAATTAAAAGAAAAAATAATATAAAATAAAAATAATATAAAATTAAAAGAAAAAATTAAAAGAAAAAATAATATAAAATTTTACTAGGATATGACAGTTCAATTAGTTGATTAAAGTTAAAAGAATTCTTAATAAAATTATATACTACTAAGACAAATAGAGACGAAAAATAAGATGTCGAATTTTGTAAAAAGTGTGAGAGATAGAAAAATTAAAGTAAGGATGAATTTGAGTATTACGTGTAACAATAATAGTCACATCTGAAAATGTGAACACTTTTCGGATGAAAATGAAAGAAATGATAAGTAGTATCTCACTCTTTGTCTCTCTATACATGCAACCATTTCTTTGAATCACAGATAGCTAGAGAGAAGCCTCATGCCATTATTTTTTCCTTTAAGTGCATATGGACAAAAGTAAGAGCAAAGGTATGAGAAAAGGTGCATGGACATATGAAGAAGACAAGTTACTAAAAGCTTGTATTGAAAAGTATGGTGAAGGAAAATGGCATTTGGTTCCCCAAAGAACAGGTATACAATAATGTTGCTCATTATACTTTTGGGTTATGTCTATTATTATTTTAATATATTTTTCCTGTTCATATAAAACAAAAATTATATAGTACGATTTAGTGAAATCTTTTTATATTATTTTGTTATAATATTTAATGCATGCATTTGGCAGGATTGAATAGGTGCAGGAAAAGTTGTAGATTGAGATGGTTAAATTATTTAAACCCTGCGGTTAATAGAGAATGTTTTTCTGTTGATGAAGTTGATATGATCTTAAGGTTACACAAACTTCTAGGAAACAGGTATATAGCCATTTTCATGTCATTCAAAATGTTAAATATGATGGTATACTAATTCATTTGTATGATTTATAATATAGATGGGCATTAATTGCTGGAAGACTTCCTGGTAGAACAGCTAATGATGTGAAAAATTATTGGCACACACATTTACACAAGAAAGAAAAAGAGAAACCTAATGGAACCAAGAAACCTCATGAAATTATTAAGCCTCAACCGTGGACTTTCTCATCTCATTCACCATGGTTGAATGGGAAACATATTGCGAAACCAATAATGGAGGTTTCAACTGAAGACGCTAGTGTTGCAAAAGATAGTGACATAGATACTATGTGGTGGGAAAATTTGTTGAATTTGAGCAATGACAAAACTGGCTCATGCTCTTTACTACAAGAAGAGGAAAATTCTATTTTAGAGTTACCAAACAGTGAGAACTTTTTGATTGAAGGCTCCAATTTCAATGTCAATGATTTTCAATGGGATTCCATCCTTTGTGAATTTGATTCTCTTTGAAATATCTAATTTAAGTTTGTGTAAGATGACCAATGATCAATAAATTTTTTTTAGAGTTCTTTTTTGTAATATAAAATAAATTTTTATCCTAGTTTTTGTACTTTTTTTTTATTTTTACTAAGGTTTAGCAAAAGTTCAGTTACTAGCATGATTGTTAGTCTACTATCTATATATACAAATTCAATTGTATGAACTCTTTAAATTACTCTTTCATCACAAATTATTTACACTATTAAAATGACATTTTTGTAATAAACTAATATTTCTTTTCCATTCTCATCTACTACTACAAAATCACAAGTGGCACTCATTTTCTCTTTTCATTTAAATTTCAAATTTTTCTCACATTCCTTTTCATTTTAATTTTTTTCTATCTATTTATTATCACTAAAAATACTATTAATCAATTTTTTTAATTTTAATAAAATTAAAAATTAATTTATCTCACGGGTTCACTTTCAACCCATCTATTTTATTTTAATCAACAATTATTTTTATTTTTTCTTCTTTTGATACAATTAAATTTATATGATTATTGTTTATTTTACAATTAAGTAAATTATTTTAAATTTTCCATTTGTATCTAAATATATTTTATATCATATCAATTTTTTTTTATTTCACGGGTTATTATGAGTACAATTTCTATTTTATATTTATCAACAATTTGTCTTGATTTGAAAGACAAAATCTTTATTTCAAAATAACTTTCTTCATCTAATGAGTCATTTTTTCTTTTTTGCATAATTATTTGATACAATTGAGTTTATATAAATATTTTTCATTTTAAAATTAAGTAACTAATTTCAAATTTACATATTTATATAAATTCAATTGTATGAACTCTCTAAATTACCCTTTCATCACAAATTATTTACACTACCAAAATGACATTTTAGTAATAAACTAATATTTACAAAATTAAAAATTTATTTATCTCACGCGTCACTTTCAACACATCTATTTTATTATAATCAACAATTATTTTTATTTTTTTCTTCTTTTGATACAATTAAATTTATATGATTATTGTTTATTTTAGAATTAAGTAAATCATTTTAAATTTTGCATTTTTATCTAAATATATTTTATATCATATCAATTTTTTTTATTTCACGGGTTATTATCAGTATAATTTCTATTTTATTTTTATCAACAATTTGTCTTGATTTGAAAGACAAAATCTTTATTTCAAAATAAATTTCTTCATTTCACGAGTCATTTTTTCCTTTTTGCATAATTATTTGATACAATTGAGTTTATATAAATATTTTTTATTTTAAAATTAAGTAACTAATTTCAAATTTACATATTTATATAAATTCAATTGTATGAACTCTCTAAATTACCCTTTCATCACAAATTATTTACACTACCAAAATGACATTTTAGTAATAAACTAATATTTACAAAATTAAAAATTTATTTATCTCACGCGTCACTTTCAACACATCTATTTTATTATAATCAACAATTATTTTTATTTTTTTCTTCTTTTGATACAATTAAATTTATATGATTATTGTTTATTTTAGAATTAAGTAAATCATTTTAAATTTTGCATTTTTATCTAAATATATTTTATATCATATCAATTTTTTTTTATTTCACGGGTTATTATCAGTATAATTTTTATTTTATTTTTATCAACAATTTGTCTTGATTTGAAAGACAAAATCTTTATTTCAAAATAAATTTCTTCATTTCACGAGTCATTTTTTCCTTTTTGCATAATTATTTGATACAATTGAGTTTATATAAATATTTTTTATTTTAAAATTAAGTAACTAATTTCAAATTTACATATTTATATAAATACATTTACATTGTATCAAATAAACGTTCTATTTCACGGGTCACTATTAACACAATACATATTTTATATTAATCAATAATTACCTTAATTTAAAAGATAAAATTCTTATTTTTAAATATTAAATATTCTTTTTTTATCTCACGAGTTCATTTTTTTCTTTGTATTTTAATACAATTGAATGTATATAATCATTGCTAATTTCAAATTTAAATACGTATATAAATATATTTTATATTGTACTAAATTTATATATAAATTTAAATATCTTTTATATCATATCAAATAATTTTATCCGTGTGGGAGCACGGATATCTTACTAGTTTACTATAAAAAGAAGTGGTTTGGTTACGAGGGTTTCTAACCTCCTAAAATTATTTTACATGAGTTAAAAAAATTGGTCGCCTTAATTATGTAACGGAGTATTTTCTAACCATTGGTACTTGTGTGGGTTAGAAGTTTCTGTAATATATTAAAAATGTGAAAAAATTTATAATATATTAAAAATGTGAAAAAATTTGTGCTCATGAATTATAATAGTAAGAAAACTGACTCATAAATAATAACAGGAAAAATCCTAACTCAAAAATAATAATAAGTCGAATAAAATCTTATGAGAAGCATTTTAATATTTCTAGTTTTTCCACCATGTGAAGTCAAAATTAAACAAAAGCAACATATATTTATAATCCCATACTTCTTCTAATGCTTCTAATCTTATAGTTAATAATATGGGTAACTGGATGTGTCGTTATTATCTTTTCATTTTGAAAGATTTACTTCTTTAATCTTACTTCTAACATCGCTGCAACTAAAAGCCAAGCAATCGTTATATAAACTATTTTGTGTTTGAATTTTTGATGCATATATAGTGTAATTCATTAATTATTTCATTGTGTTCACACTCTGTTAGAGTTAAGGGGTAGTAAATTATTTGCAATCGTTTTTGATGCATATCTAGTATATTCCATTATTTTATTCTGTGTTTATAATATCTATTAATGTTTAAGGGGATAGTGAATATCTATTAATGTTTAAAAAAATCGATTTTCTTCTTCTCAATCATATCGAAAACTTAATGTATCTATACCGTATTACCTAATTTTTAAATATTTTTGAAACATATTTTTTTTACACCAACACAGTATTGATGACCTCATCATTTAGCATAAAACATACAGCAATGCTATATTATCATACACTACATCATTAATACAGGGAACATTATATAAACAGTGTGGAAACAGTGTCATATGAACAGTACATGCGTCTGTAAATAGTAATGTGAACAGTGTTTGCGTATTATATGAATAGTGATTTTTTAAGAGTGAATAAAATTGGTTAATGAAATATAAAAACTTAGTTAATAAAGTTATAAAATTAGTTAATAAATGCCCAATATTAAAAATAATTTTTAGTAGCAAATTAAAGTTGGTTAATAAAAAGTAAAAAAGTTGATTAAATGAAGTTATAAAATTGACTAATAAACGTCCAGATATTAAAAATAATTTTGAACAGTCATCAAAGTTGGTTAATACAACGTAAAATATTGATTAATAAAGTTATAAAATCGATTAATCACACAATTTATTATCAGTACTTCTTAATAAAAAACATTTTTTTTAAATAATATTATTATAATATTTTACTGTTCACTGGTGAACAGTAAAATACAGAATAAATTGAACAGTAAAATACAGAATAAATGTAAAAATTGAGTGTAAGAATATTATTTCTCTAAAACATATAGATAACAATACATATCGATGACTTCATCATTTTCGATTCCATTACACGGAGGAAAACATGCCAACAATTGTAGAAAGTGTACAGTTAGAATAAAACAAAGTATCATCAGAAACAAACAATCGACTATATGCTAACTTAGTCCCACATTACATCACATCATATTTACAAACAAACAGTCGACTTTATTGTCGCCTATTATCACTCACTTTCACAGGATTTTCCATCTAAGTTATTACTATTATATTACTACATGTAGATAGAGTCAAAGAAAAGATGCATGCATGTGCATGAACTTCGTTATGTGAATAATATACATACACGTTAATATACAATCAACTTTATTATTGCCTATTATCAGTGACTTTCATCTGGTTTATTTTCATCTAGTGAAAAAAATATGGAAGTGAAAAAAAAAAGGAAATAAGGAATAACACATGTACAAATAAAGGATGTCTTGTGTGGAGTGGATACTAGACGCACCAGTATGCTAACAGATTTCTGGTTGATTTGTTTGGTTCCTCAGAACTTGATAACGTGTTTATAGGTCAGAATTGAATTGAATGTTTTAGCTAAAAATTTAGTAACTTAAATTGAAAATAAATGTCTATTTTTCTGTTTTGAAATAAATCTAACGGGATATTTAATCAAAGACAAAAGTCGGTGTACTAAACATTTAACTTAAAATAATATATTAAAATAATATATTAAAGAGGTCACTTATCAATTTCTTAAAATCACCAATTATATAACAGTGGTTTTTACGTCCTTTTAACACTGGGTATGAATACGGGTGTCAAAGTAGATAATGTTGTGAATATGATAATTAACATTTATTTTAAAACAAGTGTCAAAAGTCTAGTTTCACTAAGATTATTGTAAAGTTTAATTGAATTCTTTATGAGAAACTTTGGAGTGAAATAGAAAGTAGGTAATAAGTTGTTGATGTTGACCTTAGAAGGTTCTTTTTGCAATATTTCAAATGCTCGGAAGGGGTAGTAGATCTGTAAAGTTAGCACTTTAATATTAAAGTCAGCAAAATCAAAGAGATCGAACTTGCAATTATATAGTAAATCGTACATTAATGGGATGCAGAGTCACACTTATATAAGAACTATGGTTGGAACCGTCTCCGGTGAGTGGTACGTGTGGCGTGGCGCAGGGAACAGTTGAATAGACCAGATAGTTTAGATGGCGTCGTGACTTACTTTAGTGTTGGGGTTTGTAAATGAGAGTCTGCCTTTTTAACATTAATGGTATTTTATGATGCATAGATACGAGTATGGTATCCGGTGCGGATATTGGTATTGGTATGAGATACGACATTTACAAAACAAATCAAGGTACATGTACATTAATAAGAAATAAGAATTTTCTATAAAATATATGAATAAATAACTAAATTATTAGATTCATAACAAAACACCACTATAATTTAAAA